AAATAAAGACTAATTGGTGAAACGTAAAGGAATATCGGTAATAATGAAGATGGATAATAACAAAGTATGGAATAAAGAATATCAAGCGAGCACAAATGAAAGCGTGTCTGTTAAAATTTCGCTGCCACCATTGAGAAACAAATGAGCATCTGTGAAATAACAGAAGTAAACAGGCGATAAACCAAAAAACATTTCAGCAAACGGAAATGCGAAATATCAAACAAAAATTTATTGTCTAGAAGAGCAAACTAAAGCTCTACAAGTACAGCTGTAGCGGTACAGTTCAAGAGTTACAGATGTAGAGACACACCCGTAGCAAGTCATCCTCCAAAAATGATGTAATTATTTAGTCAAAAGTATCAAAATGAATCGTTACAGACGCCCATGTTCACGTCTTGTACTGCTAATTTTATAGAGCACACGAAAAAAAATAAACATTCCTAGGCCTAAAATAACCCATCTATGTATTATATTAGGCCTGAAATAGCGGATTTTAGGCCTGGGTGTGTTTGGAGCGTTAGGTTAAGTTGTTTAGGTACATTTCTAATTTGTTAGTATGTCATCTGTGTTAATTAAATAACACCAACTCAGGACTTTTGAGGGTTCAACAGTCCATTTTGATACGTTTGACCAAATAGTAGCAATAAGTACTGTTATTTCAGAAGGGGTGACTGAAGAGAACCTCAAGACGCGACTCTCGGAGCTACAGGCGTCTCAAGGCCTCTTCATTAATCACAAAGTGCGTCTCTAATCTCCTAACCTAACCGAAAACGTACGCACCCAAGCAACCCACCTAACATAATCTACCGATGCATAGAAAACTTGGATGTTTGCGCACCCCGTCCTCCTAATAGAACGTCGCATTTTGATGTATACTCAAAGCCAAAAATCGTCGTACTACAAAATGGAAGCGGCTGACGAAATTGACACTGTCCCGTTTTCGGGTCCTCTGGTAGGATAGGATAAGAGCACTTTAGCACGACAGTTTCAAGACGTTGGGGAACCTTAGGAGGACGGGCTGGTTTGTGAGCCGCTTCTTTTCATAGTAATTTGCACGCTGGGGGACCATAACGTACACAATAAGATGTATTAGTTGAGCCGTGGGTTGTGTAAGTCAACCAGGAGAGGGAGACGCGCGGGTCAGCCCGAGGTGGAAGCCTAGCGTCTGGAAAGAGCGCAGAAGTTTATATTCCTAATTGAATATTTATTAGCACAATAAACTCCGCTACGAGAGCAGGAACAAAAAGCAAGATATTCCATCCACAATTTGGTAAATATATCGCTAAAGAAAGCAATGCAACCCTTTGCATTATACATTTGTAAACAGTTCTGGTTTTAAAACCGCGGGAGAGTTATTCCTACCTTTACACTAACTTATTTGCTTATAGCAAGTACACCTGCTATAAGTGTACTTGCTTTATTACAGTGCATGTAATAAACATTGTCCAGGACTCAACTCACTGCGAAAAAGTGACGTATATCAATGAATCAAGCCGTTTCTGTTGGACTATTAGTAAACCTTAGGCTTTGTTATACGGGACAGCTTCCTGGTGGTAGAACTCTCCGAGCACAAAACAGAAGGCCTTGAACGAGACAAATGTCGTCTATGGCTTTACACGCCCATTTGTTTATCCATTTATTTGCCCATTAAAACACTTGTTTGGTAATAGGGTTGTGAAATGGGCTGTCGGCTAGCACCATTAAAGACAGTTTGCAGGCGAGAGGGAGGAACCTACTATTGATCAACAGGCCTGATGTGACGCTGTTTAATTCTTTTGTTTTAATACAAAAAATAATATATATACTGTTGACCATGTTGTCCTTTTTTCCGGGTCATTACCGAGATAGTGTTTACGTGTTTCCAAAATTAAATCCATGTTCCCGGTGTGGGATTATGTCATTTCAACGATGTGAATTTGATGATTTTTTTTTCGAGCCAGAAAAGGTATAATAACATATAAATATATTTGGATTTTGACATAATAAAATGTAGCAACATGATGTGGGTTTAGTGTACATGAGAGCAGTTGCTATAAACATATATAGAGACCTATTTTAAAATTTAAAATTTTGCCCCGAGGGGCGAGTTTATTGGGCAGCGCCACTCATCTTGTGAGTGGACACACCGCCATAGTGACAGTATTGGGCAGCGCCACTCATCCTGTGAGTGGACACACCGCCATAGTGACAGTATTGGGCAGCGCCACTCATCTTGTGAGTGGACACACCGCCATAGTGACAGTATTGGGCAGCGCCACTCATCCTGTGAGTGGACACACCGCCATAGTGACAGTATTGGGCAGCGTCACTCATCCTGTAAGTGGACACACCGCCATAGTGACAGTATTGGGCAGCGTTACTCATCCTGTGAGTGGACACACCGCCATAGTGACAGTATTGGGCAGCGCCACTCATCCTGTGAGTGGACACACCGCCATAGTGACAGTATTGGGCAGCGTCACTCATCTTGTGAGTGGACACACCGCCATAGTGACAGTAT